AGAGAGAGAGAGAGAGAGAGAGAGAGAGAGAGAGAGAGAGAGAGAGAGAGAGAGAGAGAGAGAGAGAGAGAGAGAGAACTAGGAGGAAGGAGGGAGGAAGAATTGGGAGTAAATGGGAAGGGTAAGAGAGATAACGGGACAGAGTATACAGGACGCCGTCAGTGCAGGCGGTAATCCTCGAAAGGAGAGAGGAGGAAGGCAGAGAAGTTCAGGAGGAGATAGAGGCAATTAGCAGGAAGGGAGTGAGGAGGAAATAGAAAGAAGAGGGAGGGACAAGTGAGGAAGTGTGGGAAGAGAGAAGCGTACACACCACACTACACCCACCTCACACACTCTTCTCCAAATTCACAACATGCGCTCTATCGACCGAGAGAATGTCTTTCGTCCTCTGACAAAATTACTTAGTCGGAGTCTCGCTGGCCAATACTACTATAGCAGAACTAATACTCTCGAAAATGACAACACTGCCGATAGTCACACAGCTCTCGCTGATGAAAACACTGCCTGTAGAGAAGATGCCTCCGTTTTCTGTCCCGTTTTCACCTCCCTCTCACTTTCTTCCCCGTTCTCTCTCCCATTTTCACCACCCTCTCCAGAACTTATACTCTCGAAAATGACAACACTGCCGATAGTCACACAGCTCTCGCTGATGAAAACACTGCCTATAGAGAGGATGCCTCCGTTTTCTGTCCCGTTTTCACCTCCCTCTCCCTTTCTCCCCCGTTCTCTCCCATTTTCACCACCCTCTCCTCTTCCTTTCTTCCGCATTTTCTCTCTCTCTCTCACTGTCACTTCCCTCTTCCCTTCTCATTCCCATCGTCTAGGTCTCGCCGACTATATCGAGAATAGCAAAAATTGCAATAGGACGCCTCGCCGGCTTTATCGAGAATAGCAAAACTTCCATTAGGACGCTACAGTCACTGCAGAGCTGCTTCCAGACTGTACGTCGGTGGAGCGCAAACGCCACTGAGACCTTTTGACTGTCTGTATATGACTCCAATTACGGCAAGATTCACTCCAGAAAGTCCTAAATGTGAGGGAGTGAGAGTATGAAAACACGCCCTCAGGCTTATGAAACACACACACACTCTCATCCTCCGTCAGCGTTCTGACAGAGCGCCCATCTTTGCCTACCACACTCTGGCGGCCATACTCACACTAGGAACATTTTCCACTTCGCTCCGGACGTAATTGCGGTCAGATGCATCCAATTCCGTCCGCAATTGCGCTCAGATTCATTCCGGAAAGTGCACCGTAGTGTGAGTATGCCCTCTGTCATGGAAGCAATATAGGTACGATAGCTGAGCAACAACACATGACTCGAGAGAACTCATTGCCTCGGAGGCATCTTTTAAAATTTAAAAGAAAAAAAAAAGGTAATTTATATTCTTCTCTCAATCCCTCTATATATATATTTTCCTCATCTATCTCATGCTCTCGACACTCTATGTACGAGTTGTTTGGCATTCCTTGCCCATGCCAATACTCTCTAGAGAGTCTCTGAAAGTCTGTCAGAATCGAAGTCGATTCACCTCACCGACATTGCGGTCACGTTCATTCAGATCAGTCTGAATGTGACCACCACCTTGCGTGAATAGAAATATAGATTTGGCCTCCAAAGCAGTCCCCGGCCTGCGTATTTCAGCATATCCGTTCTCATTTCCTCTCCCCCCCCCTCCCTCTCTCTCTCTCTCTCTCTCTCTCTCTCTCTCTCTCTCTCTCTCTCTCTCTCTCTCTCTCTCTCTCTCTCTCTCTCTCTC